TTTCCCTATCAGAATCACCAGAATAACTTGTTTCTCCAAAATATGAATACAAGTTTTTCTCTATATATAACTGTACATCTGGGAAAAAATGCTTTTTACTAGGAATCTGGGAGAATATTTTTAAATTGTAAATGAATTGAACACTGCCTGGAAGTTCTGAAAGCTGAAATACTGGTTGGTATCTGAGTGAAAGGGTAAGAAGCAATTCATACATATTAATTCACTGATTACTTGATTCCAAGGCTAAGGATTAAATTCACATAATGTTATAAAAAACATATTTGATCTTCATATGAATATTTGAATCTTACCTTGAACTTGTTCAGAACATCTCTCTCGGGCCTTTTCTCTCATTATTTTGGGGATCAAAACATCTTTTTCGACATGTCTGAGATGCTGCTCTGAAAAAAAAAAAAAGATCTTCCTTTAATATAGTAAAGTCTCAGGTAAATCTCCAGTTTAGGGGAAAAATAAGCACTCTGATCTACTTAAAATAGAAGCCTAGGCAAATATATTAAAAAGTGACTCTTCTATGACCTCATGAAATTGTGACTCTTTAGTCGCTGAAAATCATTCTAAATACTGTTTTATATACAAAAGAAAAAATGTGAGGGTGTAGGCAACATCTTTCTAAAACATTCTGCAAACTATGCTGCAACACTTTTATTTGATAACACATTCCATGTAGTCTTGGCAAAATTAAAGTCATAAAGTGTTATAATTTTTTAATTCATATAATCCACAAAAAGAGGATTTTTAGCAATACAGTACTGAGATCCAAGGATAGATGAAGAGATCCAAGATTAAGAGACCCAGTAACAAGAGTAGCTTAAGAAAGAGCTGGCAGAAGAAGAAAAAGTAGAACTCGTGTGCATAGAAAAACAAACTACAGGAGGTTTCTGTGCACTTTAAATAGAACTACCTCAGTTAGACTAACACAGCAGCCGGAGAACCTGCTCCAAACTCCCACCTGCTCCTCAAATTCCTAGAGAACCCTGAATCCAAAGGGGTAAGTATCCTCCAAATGATCAGGAATTCTGAAAGGCAAAAGGTAGATGAGATCAGATTAAAGGAGGCAATCTTATCCCCAGAGTTTTTTCCCAGGAAAAAACTGATACCAAAAGTAGGAAGCGGGCTTCCCTGGTGGCACAATGGTTGAGAGTCCGCCTGCCGATGCAGGGGACACGGGTTCATGCCCCGGATCTCCGGGAAGATCCCACGTGCCGCGGAGCGGCTGGGCCCGTGAGCCATCGCCGCTGAGCCTGCGCGTCCGGAGCCTGTGCTCCGCAAGGGGAGAGGCCACAACAGTGAGAGGCCCGCGTAACGCATAAAAGAAAAAAAAAAAGTAGGAAGCATGCTCCACGCTCTGAAGCAGCAGAAACGGGGAGAAGGAGCCATCCCTAGAGGAAACCAAAGCATTAGTGGTCGAAATACCACAGCAGGAGCCAAAGGAGGTCACTCTTCTGCTGCCTTCAGACCACATGTAAAATAAGTAAATACAGGCACTTATCCCCATAAGATCAGAAAGTCTCTCAGTATCTATCTAGTGACACTTAAGACCAGGAACCCCTAAACTTTTCCTGGTTCCCAACATCCTCTGGATGCAGCTATGAAGTGATACAGTATTTGTAGAGAGGGTAAGAGGGCATCTCAAAAAGCAAACAAAATCAGCAACAACCAAACAGCCAAGAATCACCTAAATTTGTTGAAGGACAACACAATGAAAAGGAGAACCTAACTGTAATTAATCAAGAAGTAAACAACTCCTAAGAGGGTGAAAAGAGTAAAGAAAATAAGATTTTCAAATAAATATAATATACTGAAGCAAATAAAAAGACATGAGTCCTCAGAAAGAAACAAATCATAGGTCACCTAAATGCACTTTGATGAAATATCTGAAGCTCAAAAATCCTAAAAGCTTCTAAAGGGAAAAAAAAATCACCACACAGAGGAACAAGGACCAGATTTACATCACGTTTCACAGGCAAGATGTGGATGCAAGAAGATAATGACGAAATAACATCAAAGTTCTCAGAAAGAATTACTTTATATCCAAGAATTCCAGAGCCAATTAAGAGTGAAATTAAAGATATTTTCAGATATGTAGGAACTGAAAAGTTTATCTCTTTCAACCCCACCGAAAAAGAAGTGATCTTTATCATAGTGTGACAAACCAAGCCACTAATCCAATGTGGTGATGGAAAACAAGAATCCTGTATGCACAGGGAGCCCATGGGCAGGAGTTCAGGCAGGTAGAGCAGAAGTGACTCTTCTCTGCTTCTGTGTCTGGGGCTCACCTGGGAAGACTCCAGCCACAGGCCCTGACTTCAATAGACACAAAAGCTGCGGCTGGAGGATTTACTGCCAAGAAGACTTCTTTCTTCACATATTTATCTGATATGTGGACTGGAAAGGCCAAATCACCTACACAGGGTACAGTGGGTAGATGGCCTTTTCTGAGCCTGTTGTGGAAGCCATGCAGCCTTGTTCCTGCTACCTTATGTTGATTTCAAGTCACTGGGCTCAGCCTACACTCCAGTGGAGGGAGGGCCACATCACACGGAGCCTGAGGGAGGGAAGATACCGTTGTAACCTTCTTTGTAAAATAAAATCTGCCACAAGAAGTAATAGAGAATATATTCTGATCAAATAAAATGAATCCATGATGTACAAGTGTAAATATATAAGGCATATTAGAAAACATACATTTAAATTTACATGTTAAAACTGTAGAGTACTTGAACAACATCATCAACTAACTTGACCTAACATTTATAGAACACTCAATAACAGCTGAATATTTACCAAGATAAACTATAGTCTGGGCTAGGAAACAAATCTTAATAAGTGTAAAAGAATTCAAATCATACAAAGTATGTTCCCTGACACCAGTGTATTTAAAGTAGAAATCAGTAACAAAAGGATCTCTTGATAATCTTCAAACATTTGGACACTAAATAACACACTTTAAAATAACCCATGGGTCTAGGAAGAAATGAAAAGGGAAATTAGAAAGTATTTTGAAATGAAAGAAAATATAACATCAAAATTTGTGTGACGCAGCTAAAACAGTACTGACAGAAAAATTTATAGCACTAAAAGTTTACACTGGAAAAAAAGGATGGTCTTAAATCAATGACTTAATCTTCCACTTTGAGAAATTAGAAAAAGAATAAAGAAACACAAAGCAAAGAAAAGAAATAATAAAACCTAAGCATAAATCAATGAAATAGAAACCAAAATAAACAAGCAAAATGATAGAGAAAAGCAATGAAACCAAAACTGGTTCTTTGAAAACATTATTAAAACTGATAAACCACCTTGCCAGTAAAAAAGGGAGGTCACAAAGATCAGAAATGATACACATTTTTATATAATAATAATGTATTTAAGTGATCTTTAAATGTAGGTCAATAAATTTGACAACGAAGATGAAGTGGACAAATTCCTTGAAAAACACAAATAACCAAACCTAACTCAAAAGGACATATAACCAGCAGAGCCCTATATCTATTAAGAAAATTGAATCTGTAGTTAAAAGCTTTCTCACAAAAAAATTCCAGACCCAGAGAGCCTCACTGGTGAATGTGGCCAAACATTTAAGAAAGAAATAATATCAATTCCATACGAACTCTTTCAGAAAACTGCTCTGAAGCCAGCATTACCCTGATACCAAAACCAGATAAGACATTACAAGAAAAGAAAACTACAGTCCAATATCCCATCATGAATACAGATGTAAAACTCTTTACAAAAGATGAGCAAATTGAATTCAGCAATATAAAAAAGGATAATACCTCATGACTAGGTGGGGCCTATCCCAGGATTGCAAGCTTCACTTAATATTCAAAAGTCAAGAAATGTAATTCATCGTATTAAAAAACTAAAGAAGGAAAGACACATGGTTATGACAACAAGCCACAGAAAACACATTTGACAAAAACCTAGTATCCATTCCTAATTCAAACCCTCAGTAAAGTAGGAACAGAAGGAAACTTCCTCAACAGGATAAACAGCATCTAAAGAAAAACCCACTGCTGATATCATATTTAATGGTGAAACACTGAATGTTTTCCTCCTAAAACAGGGAACAAAAGATAAAGAAGTCTCTCTTACCATTTCTATTCAGCATTATACTGGATGTTCTAGCCAGTGCAATAAGGCAAGAAAAATAAAAGGCTTCCAGATTGAAAAGAAAAAATAAAACCATAGTTACTCAAAGATCATATAATCGTCTATATGGAAAATCCAATGGAATCTACAGAAAGTTACTAGAACGAGTACATGAGTTTAGCAAGGCTTCCAGATACAAGATTAATATACAAAAATCAAATGGAAATGACATAATAAAAAGTCAGAGGACTAGAAAATAATTCAATAATAACCTTCCAATCTATAAAATAGAAAATGGCTTTTTAAAAAATGAACTGGGGCTCAGGAACCTGCAAGACAAGAAGAAAAGATCCAACATTGATTTTACCACAGTCTCAGAAAAAGAGGTAAAAAGAGGTAAAAAGAATGCAGGGCTGAAAAAATATTTGAAGAAATGACTGACACCTTTACGAACTAGTCAAAAGACAAAAACCTATCAATTCAAGAAAACAGTTAAAAACCTAAAGAAATACACACCCAGACAAATCATAATCATACTTCGGAAAATGAGAAAGAAAAATCTTCAAGGTGCAGGGCAGAAGTTGAGACAAAGATGTAGAGAACACAGGTATGGACACCAAGGGAGGAAAGCCACGGTGGGGAGGGGATGGTGGTGTGCTGAACTGGACGATTGGGGCTGACATGTATACACTGATGTGTATCAAATTGATGACTAATAAGAAACTGCTGTATAAAAAAATAAAATTCAAAAATTCAAAAAAAAAAATCTTCAAGGCATCAGAGAGAAATATAGCAGAACAAAAATTCAAAAGACAAAGGCTTTCTCTTCAGAAACCACAGAGGCCAGAAGGAAGTGTCACAGTATTTTCGAGTACTAAAAGAAAAGACCTGTCAATCAAAAATTCTATAACCAGAAAAAATGTTTTTCAGGATTGAAGATAGAATAAAGATAACTCAGAGGAAAGGAAGCTAAGGTAATTTCTTGCCAGCAGACCTGTTGTAAAAGAATGGCTAGAGGAAGTTATTCAGACAGGAAGGAAATATTAACAAAAGGAAACTCAGAACAACAGGAATGAAGAAAGGGCAACACAAAGAATAAATGTAATAAACTATTCTTTTCTTGAATTTTAAAAATTATTTTTGACAGAAGCAAAAATTATAGCATTCTCAATGTATATAGAGATAATATTAAAGATGACTACAGGATAAAGGAAAGAGGATAAAGCAACTTTGGTGGTAGTAAGATATCTACGTTTTATTTGAAAGATAAAATGTTGATGCTAGTAGA